TTKTKTTKKKTTTTWKARAAARAAAAKGTTAGTGAAGTTGAGATAGCTGTATCAGCAAGAGGGCAAAAAAGCCTATTGGCCTGCAATTATAGTTCATCACAGGATGCAAACATACAGTTTGACACATATGCAGCCAATTGTGTTCATAATTATATGGTAAATACTTCACAAAAAGGAATGGGTTTGCCACTTAATGACATCTTTTTAGAAGCTTATAAGGGAATGAAAAGGAGAATACACCAGGATTGCTCTTATTAAATATTCAAGTCTTCTCTTCTTGACAATGCTAATAAAGCTTCCCAATTTCTGATGCTTGTCAGATGAGATTTTCAAAGGACTTTTTAGACATGAACCAAGTAAGGCATTAAACAATTCATCCCTTGAATGGGTTGGAAAAGGCTTACCCCTCTCCTGCTGAAGGGAAATGCAARCCACAGTAACAGATTTTCCACAGCCCCACCTGACTGAGTGAAACCTAGGTCCCCAATAGGTGTTAACCTCAGACATAATTTAAGAAAAAAAAGGATTGGAGATAACCTGTGCTTGTCTGTCCTTCTGCAGGCTTTCTTTGTTGACCACAATTCACGCACCACGACATTCATCGGCCCACGGCTGCCCCTGCAGAGCAGCAGACCCACAAAAAAGGATTGGAGATAAATTGTGTCTTGTCTGTCCTTCTGCAGGCTTTCTTTGTTGACCACAATTCACGCACCACGACGTTCATTGACCCACGGCTGCCCCTGCAGAGCAGCAGACCCACCAGTGCGTTGGTGCACCGGCAGCACCTGACTCGGCAGCGCAGCCACAGCGCTGGGGAGGTGAGTGGGCTCTGTGCCTCCTCCTGCTTAACATCATCCTCATTTGTGTCATCCCATGTCACAAGGAGTGTGATTTTCCTCTAAGTTTACAGGAATCATCCATAAAGGCTTGTTTTGTCTGCTGGCCATTGTTGCTTTTAATATGTATGAATTCAGAGGAAAAGTATCAAATRTGAGTTTCTCTTACTTTGAATTTGCAGTAACCCCACTTAACCACAGGAGAGCATCTGATTACAGATGTTCCTGTATACAGTCCTTCACAAAATATGTATTGTTGTTTAATGTGGTGTCTGCTCAGTGTGTTGTTATATAACTGTGCAAAATGAGAGAGGGGAAAAGGTGGATAAAAACGACTGTACATCTAGTACTGTACACCTAGCAACTTCCCACTAAGTATAAAAAAAATCTTAGCTCATCCAGGTTTAACACACTGCTATCTGCCTTTGCATATGTATTTCATCTCTATTTTCTGACCAGGAATAGATAGAAAAGACTATTTTGTTGATATGTCACTGTGCACTGTTTTCTCTGGATGTCTCCATATTGTTGTTGTCAGTTCTTTTCACTTGTAACCTTGTGTATGTGCAATGACTTGGACTTCAGTKGTGCTTTGTTTAAAACCCTCTGTACTGTTTGCTGTAAGCTGTGTGTTCAGGGGAGGGCTATTCCATGCCAGGAACTGAAGATAATACAATTCAGAATAGCAAGTGAAATGCTCTGATTTATCCTTTTCATARCTCTGTCTTGTGGCAGAGGAAGGTCTGCCAGACCTCTGTTTCAGAGGAGACATGAATCTTGTCTGCCACTTCTCTCAGCTTCCACTGAGCTGCAGCGAGTGCCACAGCACTGGCTGCRTGTCTTGTCACATCCTGTGTGAACATGGTTTAATCACTCCCCCTCCAATGTCAGGTGCATTTTGCAAATTGTTTTAAATAGCATTTTCCATCAATTTGGTGACTGTGTATCAGGGAAGCAAGCCAGAACTGTCTTTATATAGCTGTTTTGATCTTGATGAGGGTGAAGCAAGTGTTTCTGTTGTGATTGATTTGTAACAGAGCAGAAACAAATTTTTTTTCTTAACTTTACCCAATATGCACCCACCACCAAATTACCTTTCTTTAAGCAGCACTTAAAACAGATATTTGAGCCAGCCATGTTGCTGATGTTGTCAATGCTACAAAAGGAGTAYWGCTTATCCAACAGGAAATCATCATRTATATTGCATATACAGTGTTGAYTRCCTGTCMAAATTTCCCACTCCATCTAGATACATGAAATTCCTTAAACCATTTAGAAGTCTTTCCTTGATATTGTTACTATTGTAACTTGAATTGAGGTATAATTCCAGSTAGGAATCTCAAGCATAGCAATTCAATACAGTATTCCCATCCTAGGATTAATGATGCAATGATGTTCTTTTTGTGTGCAYATACCTGAACAYCRTTTTTTCCTCTGCACTTTAGGACTTAGTATTGCATATTTGGATGTTTTTCCTATTTTTAAGCYATTGCATAAAGGAAGTGTACATTATTGCAAAAGATGAGTACTTAATTAAAAAAAAATATTAAAATACTTTCTTTGGCTTTGTCTTGCCATGAACTTTGATGTTTTGGAGTCACTGACCCAGTTTTTACAGGGAGATGCTCTAAAGCAAACATGAACCAGTGTAAGGAATGCCTTTTTAGCTCAAGCTGAACTGCAGTGTGAAGCTGGAGCTAATAATAATGACATTCCTTTTCCAGCACATTGCCCAACAGGAAATAATTCTTCATTTTTYTGAAAGAGTATTATCAGAGAGCACAAAGGTCTTGGGAGATACCTTGGGACTTTTGCTGCTTTGTGATTTAAGAGATTTGGTTTAAAAGCAATCTTTTATAATCATTTGGTCTTTTGCAGTGAGATGTTTTAGTGTTCTTTGAAGTTTGGGATTGTAGCTCAAATGCTAACTATTATATGTAGGCAGATAAACTGAGAAGTAAACAAAGAGGTCCAGCAGGATGGAAAAGAGGTTGACTGAATGTTTTGTGGAGATAAAATACTGAATACTGAGAAATGACTGAAATTTCATCATGCAGTAAACTACAGCAGTTGTCCTGACATAACAAATGGCTCTAAGAACAATTTTATATTGTGGTTCTACCCTAAAAATTGTTCATGTGCAACTTCTTTTAAGCCCAGAAGGTGAATATAAAAAATCCCAGGGTTTCTGAATGATTCTAGGAGCCATTTTTTTAACAAATTTTGAACATGTTTGCCTTGTCTGAATGTGAACTCACTTCTTTAATCTTTGTGGCTTCAGCCACAGACTTACTTCCACTTGAAATTTAGGGAAACTCCATTTATGCCCAGAGGTARTAGRKGTAYTCATARAGGAGCAGAATTTGGTTTCMAGAATGTGTTGTGTGGATAAGTATGTCCATGAATTACAAAAGAYCTCCTGAAGTACTCTCTTTTCAGAATAGGACTATTTAAAAATAACAATAAACTTTGCATCTGTTTTGATTCTTCCTATTAATGGGCCCAGTATGCTAAATAATGTTTTACTGGTATCTGTCCTAACAGCACAGCTGCTTCCTGCTGCAGTGGTTACTGGAGATACTGATCAGGCAAAGCCTTGATGTATGTGCTTGGTTTAAGCCAGATAAATTCTCACTTTTCTGTACCTGAATGCCTGTGCTGGCACAGTCACTCACTGTGGTTATTTGCACGTTTCCAGGTTGGAGAGGACTCCCGTCATTCAGGACCCCCAGTTTTGCCAAGACCATCCAGCACATTTAACACAGTCAGCAGAGCTCAGTACCAGGATGTGGTTCCAGTGGGTATGTCAGCATGCAGCCTCTGCTCAGAGGAGTTCTCCATCACTGAGGGGCTCATGGCACTGTGCACTGCTGGGGTTTCCATTTGTTTGGGATGGGTAGAAGTTACCATTTGTTATGATCCTTCTGTCCTTTGGTATTTCCACACTGTTCAGTTGCAAACTTCAGGGCTGGAAGTGTGCAGAACCAAAAAACTGAGTATTCTACCTCTCTAGCTCACTGTCTCTGTGTGCTCACAGGATGAGCTGAAGCCAGCAAGTCAAACTGGGTCCTAACTAGACTCCATATATTCCCAGTGGTTTTTACCTTTTTTTTTTTTTCTTCCCCCCCAACTTCTGAGCATCAATTTTGGCAGGATTCCAGAAAGTGTTAATCAGCTTGGAATTAGTCATTAGCTTAACTTCTGTTCTCAGTTACATACCCACAAAGTAACTGACTTCTGTGCCACCATGTCCAGAATGTGCCTTATTAAGTCTAACAGCTGTCACATTGTGCTAAATCAAGATAAATTAATCCGATTGACTGTAACTGGCTCTTTGTACTGTGGCATGTTTACTTGAAAACCTCAACCCATTTAAATCCTCCCCCTTGCCATGGACGTGGTGTGCATGCTTTGCAGGCTCACCCATTAGTGAGGATTTGATACGGCTGTTTCCAATGGCTRCTTAATGTTTGAGAATAAATTTCAGTGCAGTGAAAACCAAGGTCCCTGCAATTTAATTCTAATAATAAATATGCTGGTTTGACCTTARCTAAGAGTGAATGATAAAATATAATAGGAATTCCTAGCAGAAYTATAGCTGTTAGCAATGGAAAGGATATGTCACAATGAGATTTGGTTCATAAGCAACTGTGTTCCTTAATTGACAATAGAATTGGTAGCTTTGCATAAAAAAGTATTAAACCAATACTTCAAAACTTAAAACTGTGAAGGTGAAGTATATCATTATTGTTGAAGACTCAGAAGRAATAGCATCCTTTGTTTTGGTATCTCCTTGTTTCGGCATGATATTTTTGTTGATATTTTCAGCTTACAATGACAAGATAGTTGCATTTTTGCGGCAGCCCAATATCTTTGAAATTCTACAAGAGCGTCAACCAGATCTTACCAGGAATCATTCACTCAGGTAAGAAAATTAGTGAAGACTGTAATTCCCATTTCAGTGTAAAATATTAATTAAAATTAGTTACMTTCATTAAAATTAACAGTGGAACATCACAGATTGTCGACTTCCAGTGCATTCAAACATATTCATAAAGCTGAGGGAAATAGTTCTTTACTGTATTTCTYTGTAATGCCTTGTCATGAGGTTGAGGAGAACAGAGGTAATATATTATTATTAAATAAAGGTACCTACAAGAAAATGTTTGAAACCACTTGGATAAGAGATTTGCTGCTGTCTTCCAAATATGCCGAGACAGTTGGATGGCATGGCAAATGTGCCCATTCACTTGGGTGTGTGTACAGCTGGAAGCATGAGGCAGAAGGGCCTTTTGGTTTGTCCTTATCTGCTCAAAGCACATTTACAGAAAGGCTGTCCTGACCTAACAACGTCTGGAGATAATCTTACATCAATCAGAATCTTTGGTGTCTCTCCAAAATTTACAAAATGGGATATCTAGAGATTTGTGCATAGTGCAAGAAGATCTGAAGAAGGATGATCTTTGATTGTTGTGTGGTTGTTATAAGTCCCTCATATACATACTTGGAAATGGAATCACTGACAACTTGCATAGTAGTGTCCAGGGCTGAAATGAATGTGTCTCTTCTTCTTTGGACACTAAATATAACAAATGCTGGTTTGATTGTTGGCAGCCTGTCCTGTGCAGTGCTGTGTTCCAGAGGCCTGTACACATTGGCTGGTATGGCAGTCAGCACTGATACTAATTCTTTTTTTCTTTACTCAGTGTTACTTATTGATCCCTTTTCCTCTGTRTCCTGCAAGTTCCCAAAATTCAACAAGCTGCCCTGCTTTGCAGTTTCCAAAAATGCTGTGTAGCAAGTTTTGTGTTAAAGATTTGGTTTGCTCTCTAAAGGAATCCTGGCTGACAAATCTGAAACAACATKCTAGCAGAATATATGCTGTCTAGGAATTACAGAGAAAATAAAAMCAGAAATCTACAGTTCTCAGCATATCAAAACAGTTCCTGTGTTGTGCCCATATCACTATAGGCAAGTTTGTCCCACCAGGCTTGGTTTGAAATCTTCTGGGAAACAGTATACAAACAATTTCTGAACACTTGTAGTTTTATTGCTTCATATTCCTTTTCCCAGGGTGCTTGATTTCCTTTAGCTRTTGTCTGATAGCAGTYRATGTMATTTTCTTTGTWTGTTTTGTGGGGTTTTTWAATAAATTAGCRTTCAAATYRCTCACAAGGCTGGTTGGTGTTGTCAGATTCTGCTTCTAGTAGAACCTTGCTTYCTGATTACAGATTAATAATTTCCCACAAACTGAGCCTTGTCAAGAAAAGATGGTTTTTAGATTAAAAATGGAAGATCAGAGGATAAAAGATACTGTTTTCTGTACCTCCTCATTTACTTGAAATTAACTGTCATTTTGTACTTCTACTTTTTAAGGAGACTGAAGGTATAGACCTTAACTGACTTTCTTCAGCAGAATGATCGAGGTTTTTATTGAATGTGATTTTCTTTTACATTGAATGGGATTGGTCAGAGAAGCCATTCTGTTAACCTGAATGATTGCATTCTAATTTTAGTATTTGAAGTTAGTAATTTGATTAAGATAAATTTTCTTCCATTGTACCTCTCCTATATCCTTGTACAACTGATACCTCAGTAACATTTAATGCAGTTTTATTTTTCCTGGTTAGTCTTTTAAGACCCCAATTTAGCAAGTTATTGGAATCCACGTGAGACTAAGCAACTCCATGACATTGCTGTAACACAAATACAATGATAAATTAAGACCTAACTGAAATCCTACAGTATAAATTATTTGTGTAATTTTTTTTTAATGTACTGATTAGCATAACTGCTAGTAACTTCTTCCTTTGAGGACCCTGGTGCAGTTGAGGTGGAATGATAATTATATTAAATATTATTATTAATATTATTGTAATTATTGCATAGGTGAGGAGAAAAATTAGTGTTTGGCCAGTGGAAGAGGACAAAGATAATTTGAAAAGATCTCTGACATTTTCTGCCTAAAATAATTTCTCTTTCCCTTAATGAAAGAAGAGATAAGAAGTTGAGAGTCTATTAAAATACAAAATGAAAGTATGCTACATGTATAAAATTGCTGTTCAGATGTTTCATGGTGGAGTGTAAATGTTATACTTATCATATCCTTATTAGGCATGTTGCCAAGATTAAATCTTCTTCCAAGTCACTACAGATAAAACTGAGAGGCTGCTAAATAATGTAAAAGGCTTCAGGCAAAGGCACTTGTTACACATTAAATATAGTTCATATATTAGAGGAAGGTAAAAGGCATATATGTTAAAAAGATATCATTGAAATCACAACTCTCACTTGGAACCCCAGGAAGTCATGGATTGCATTCATTTGGAAGGCTGCATATATTAGTTAACCCAGAAAATATCCTTCTGGTTTCTGGTGTTGCTGCCAACTAAATGCTAAGGTATATTTTGTACTTCACCATATACTTCCTCCAGCCTTGCCAATTGGGCACTGCTGTAAAGTGGAGTGGGCTCTGGCAGTGTCCASATGTCCCTGCCCTGCCGATTGCACGGTTGTTTTTGCCTTCTTGGCACTGTTGGTAACAGGACAGATCCCTGAGCTGAGCCAATGCTGCTGTACTTATACAGAGTTGTTTACTTTTTCTTTGCTTYGGGGTTTTCTCCTTTGGATTTGGGATAGGTGGGTTTGGTTTTTGGTTTTTTTTTTCCTCCAGAAGAGTAAAGCCAAATTAGACTTTATCTCTACTGTACTATCATAGTGATAAAGAGAAAATACGAAGGATGTACTTGTGTTTCAGAATGCAGGAGAAAGCTCTGCAGAGAAAAAGAATAAGAATCCAAGAAATCATATTCAACACAGATCCTAAAATTCTGTGTGTTACCATAGATTCCACAACWGTGACCAAACTGGGGCTAGGAGAAAGGATGTGTGCTTGGGTGAAATAGAAGGGAGAAATAATACAGGTTTTTTTTCAGACAATATCTTTCATGCAGTATGGTATGAAAACGCTGCCTTTAAAATCACAAGTATGCATTGTAATGTATGGCTTGCATTGTACAAGGATTCAGGAGAGACAGTGCCTCTTTAAACAGTTCACTTCTGCAATAGGAATGTCCTCCCACAGGTCTCAGCCTTCTACTYTGAATTCAGAGACACAGCTAGCATGAACTTGAAGGACTGATTTTTCTTTTATTTTTTTAATTTCTGTTTTTACTGGTTGGGTGACTGTTCTACCTCCAAGAGCACGAGCATTGGAGAGACGAAGGCAACAGGAGAATYATTCCTCAGAACAAATTAGCTTTTTGTGGGTAATATTTTACTGCTCACATGGATATGGTGTGGCAGGGTRAAAAAGCAGGGAAAAGCATWAYCCAGAGGTTTCTGATATACTCGGCACTTTTTCTTGTTGCTGTGATGTACATTGATGCCTTATTTGCAGAAGGTATTTGGAAAGGCTTTTTTTGCTTCCACAGGGAGAAGATCCAGTTCATCCGGACAGAGGGCACACCAGGGCTGGTGCGTTTATCCAGTGATGCAGACCTTGTCATGTTGCTCAGGTAGGCACTGCTGCTGGCCCTGCACGTGTGGGATTTGCTGTGGGAGTAGTGTGTGCTGATGGTGTGACCCAGCCATTTCCCCTTCACCCTTGCAGCTGGGACAGCTACAACTCAAAGCTCAGATTTTATTTTCATCAAGTTCCATTTCTAGATGGTGGAGGTTGCGCGTTTGCATGGGAGGATGGAATATGAAAGATTAGTCCGAAAGCACTGTGCTTGTGATTTGTRTAGGTTTGCCCAGACCACCTTTTATTGTCCAGTCTCATCCAGCCCTGATCTTAGGAAGGTGGTACAGCTCAGACCTCTTTTCAAGAATGTGCCTTGTACTATTAGAACAAATCTTTTTAGTTCTGTGCTTTGGGAAGTGCCTGTTTTTAAAGGCACGTACATGAGGGATATTTTTATTACTTAATGTCTCTCTCACCTCTTCACTGTTCTTGTCCCCTTTAGTAAAGGAAATATTGTTACAGACTTCAAGAAATTGGTACCTGCTTCTTTTACTAGTTTCCACTTGAGCTATTAACTCAAAAAATCAGGCAGATTTTTTGCTAAAATTAAAACCTTTTATCCTGATGCTGTATTCTCATCAATTGTAGAAGTGCATCAAGAAATTATTGGATATATTTAAAATTAATAGAATTGAAATAGAATTGACATTAGTACTTGTRTTTTGAGGTCAGGCTGCATAATGATAATCCTTTCTGGTCCCTAAATCTCCAAATTAATTACAGCTATAAAAAAACCCTGATTTTAAACCTAAGTTCGTGCTTTTAAAAATACTGTTTCTTAAAAATCTTTTAAGATTTTTATGTGTGAGTGGGAGGAAAGCATCACACAGCCATGATTGTGAAAAGAACCRTTAAAAAAATGCATGTAAAAAAATTCTAGATATTTGTCTGGTGAACTTAGTSAGAAACATCTTTTATTTGAACCTTGTTTTCATTGCTTTGGATAGTAAAGGATTGGCTTGCAATGCCTTGTAGAGCTCATTTTTTGAAAATAATTTTTCCATATTATCTCAGCAGTTTGTGTTGTGTTTCACATTCAAGATATGTTTTGATACCAGATCCACTCTGGTATTAGATATCCTGTCCCTTTTTTATTTGCTTCTGTCAAATTTGGGAAAAGACTGAAATTTTAATAAATATATATATATAAACATGCATACATGCACACGCACACACAGATGCAGTGATTAGGCTGCAAAACGTTTGGGTTTTTTCACCTAGGAAGTTGTGTGGTAGTAATAGATGAGGCATGAAGTAACTGAGCTTGAACAGGCTAGATGTAGTACCTGTTTCAGCAGGAGTGTTATTAAACATAAAATGTTATTTTTAAGCTAACATGCTTGCCATTCAATGCACTTAACAAGTTCAGATGTGATTCTTAATCCTGGAGGCTTAAAGTGTTTGTGACTAAGGTTATTGATCCCTTTGTAATGAAAACAGACACAAAAAAAAAGGAGAGGGGCCCAATAATTTTCAAGGCTGATTAACTATATTTTAACCTTGAGAACAAATCATGTATAGTAAGGTCCCACAAAAGTGGCAGTTACTGCTTTCCAGTACTTTCAAGATCTGCTTGAGGAAATGGCAACAAAGTATTTTGTAGCCCTCTTAAGTGTGCATGGTGGAAATAGGTGAGTGTCTACCAAAGAAAGCAGGTTAATTACCAGAGATCTATCCCCAGAAAGTAAAAACTGCCATTTATTCAAATAAACATATTCTTTCTTTCTTTGCTTCTTTTTGCCAGCTTGTTTGAGGAGGAGATAATGTCATATGTGCCGCCACATGCCTTACTTCATCCTAGTTATTGCCAGTCCCCGMGAGGCTCGCCGGTGTCTTCGCCTCAGAACTCTCCAGGTGAGTTGGTCAGGCAAAATTTCTGCAGAGACTCCATGAAACCTCTTCTCATCCTTGATAAGACCAGTTCCAGGTCAGTAAATTTGGTAGGATGTTTTTGTTGCCTTCCCAGAAGCTGGAGAACAAAAGCAATACAAGAATTGTTTTACTCTTTTATTCCCTTTACACAATGAAATCCATGGCAGCTTAAAGCCAAGAATATACTKTTGGGAAATTATAACCTATTTCCCTTTGTGATTTCCAACTTTGAGATGGGCAAGGTTGCCTGAGCTGTAACCCCTTCTGAGTGGTCAGTGAGCTTGTCACTGCAGTGCTTCAGGSATGATGGTCTCTGTATGATGCTGCAGTAGAGCTGCTTCCATAATTTGGCTGTGCTRCATGGATTACCTTTTCACCTTTCTGAAGATCCAAGATCTGTTGCTCCAGCAACAATAAAGATTTAGATTTATTTTTGAGCAAAGTCAACAAGTATAATTGCATTTAACTGTCAAACTTGAACCTTTGCCTTGGGCTCACATGATGCTTTGCTGGATGTGTTAAAAATTCACGGGTTGTGATTTTGTTCTGATTTTTAAAAAATCATGCAAACTTGTTTCACTAAGTGAAACTAAGCTAAGTGAACTGCTCATGCCAGCATCCTGATGCCTGGAGCATTAAAAGCATGGATCTAATAACTGTACATTAAAATGRCAGCATTAATGGGGCTGTGGGGCAATGAGGAACAATTTTGTAAAGCCACCTTGTTATCCTTTAACAGGTGTACAAAATATAGCATATTTCAGGTGTCTGAATATTCATGTCAGAATGGCATTGGTACTTCATATTCTAAGTTGCAGATCAGAACTAAACTAGTGCAAATATGACAAATTTCATCTGAAGAACAAGTTTATAGATGTTGCTGTGCTTAGTTTCCTCAAGATAATAGATAAGCAAATTGGAAATGGCTCAAGGGGATTTCTACAAATTTGAGAGCAAAAGTATAGGTAAACAGAGAACATTTGAGATGCAAGCAACTCTAGGTAGTTCCAGACAACAAGAAGTTTTTTATCACAAAAAGAACTGTGATTTTCATGGGTCCACAATAATAAACAGCTTTGCCTTTTCATGGAACCAGATTAAATGCATTCATAAACATGTGGTAGCTTTTCTTGCTGTTGGACAAAGGACATCTGTAAGATCTGTCTGAAAAATCTGAAGACTCTAATGATCTTATGGCATTCTGCAAAGCAGTGAAATATAATATTCACATTTATTAATATTTTCAATGCATTTTTAGATRTGACTGTTTCCCTTTATTACAGAGAAGGGAATGATGAAATCTGCATGTATGCATCTTACTTCCAACTGCAAATCTGGCAGTCTTTATTTATATAAAACCAGTTTTGGCTTCCAGAGTAAAGATTTCATAATTGCTGGTGCACCAAAGCATGCTGGGCATGGCTTCATTCCAACAAAGTAATTTCAAAATAYATTSAGTCTTTAACATGTGATATTCTCATTTCCTCACAGTAGCAGCAGGTAGTGGAGGATGAACATTGATGGTTTTGGTCTCATTCTYCTTAAAATTGCAATCTCTCTTCTGGCTCATAGAAAAACATAGAGAGACCATTGAGTCTCCCTGTCAGTCTGCAAGCATGCACATTTGTGTTGGCGTACAAACGACTTTTTTGATGAGAAATTGTAAATATGCCATGTTTCTATGGAGGCTCTGTTTTTTCTCATCAGCTAAGCTGGCTGTGCTGCMCTGCACGAGGTGGTGTGTTAAGGATCCATTGTTCAGCTCAGTCACATTCACTTGTACTTTCTCTTTYGGGGAAGATGAATAGTCATGAAGCTACTCTTTATATCTGCTTTACAATATAACCTCTTTGAAAATCAAATATGATTATCACATCACTGGTTGTTTTTAGCTCTTCCATTAACATATTTTGTTCCCAAGGCAGAAGTAATCACTATAATTGCTCAGGAATTTCTTGGCATATGCATCTGATTTTCRGTGAGGACTTGTCATGTGCTGACAGAATATTATGATGCTGATTTCTGAACCATGAAGCAATGTGAAGCAATCAGATTCATGTTTTGTGGTACCCTTCAAAAAAAAAAAAAACAACCTTCCATCAGGGGTTAACATTGAAGTATATTTTTGTTGTCTTTTTCTGATGACTACATTTTTGTACATACTTTRACCCAAAGCAAAATAAACACAGAGAGGGAAAAGGCCAATAGTTAAAAGGCTGTTTACACTTTCTGTAAGTTTTGAGGAGATTTCAGCCTTGTGTACCTTTAGAAGCTCTTGGTGCTCTCAGTGAAACAGTAAAACCACTACAGGTGAATCAATGACCATGATCTCTTTTTCCAGAGGGGTCCTTCAWGTTCCTTTTGGAGCCTCACAGATTCCATGATATTTACTATTCCTCCCACACTTCACTGTAAGCCTGGAACAAGTGCCAAGTGTCTTTCTGGTCAGACAGGTCTCTTAAAGACCTGTTAAATGGCATTCAGTGTAATTAGTGAGCTCACTGGTTCTGTCTCTGATCTCTGCAGAGACTCTGCAGCTCCTTCCAGCAGCCACTTCCTCAGGATGTGCTGTCGCCTTTTCTGTCAGACCCATGGGTTTTGTGGCTCCAAGGTCTGCTCTCCWTCCCCTCTCTCTGCCCACAGGCACCCCTTCTCTTATTACCTGAAACCTTACGTTCCCATCAAACCCATCCCCACAGTAGCAGTGTTTCTGTATTGCCTTAGTTTCGTGCAGGGAGCCAAAAGTAAACTTGCAAAAAAAGTGAGTTAAAAGACAAAATTGTGCATAAAAGTGCTTCTGAACTGTTCATTTGTGTTTTCAGTGCATTGTAGGGGGACCACTGGTTGCAGAGAAGAAGTTGGCAAATTATGTATACTTAAAGGCATGAAAAATTTTAAATGTCGTCTGAATTTTTTGTGGGGATGTCTACACATCCACGCAGGAAAGAAATTTAACTGCCTCCTTGGCACATTGCCTTGCAGTGAAATTGGTGGAAGTCATTTAACTAGAGAGGCAGTGGAAGTTTTAATGATTGTAATTTTTAGAATAGATCAGACTAAACAGCTTAATTTGTATATACAGGACTTGTACATGCAGTTGCAGAGTACACCATTTTTTTTTGGCATACAGATCACACGTCTCCTTGCTTTTAAAAAATTGACTCTCAAAAACAGTTTTTCAAAATAAAATTCACTAAATGACCATCATGTATGTTTCTGCAGCCACAGGTTAGAATTTCCACAGACAGATTTGGTAGTCTTTCCATTCTTCCTGTATTTTTCTTCCTTGTTACTTGCCCAGGAAAAAACTTCTGCTAAGGAATTTCCAAATGTTTTCYTTCTTCCTCAAACAGGGGCAATGCAGAATCCAGTCTGTTTGTGCATCATTTCTGACTTGTTGTTTTCCCTGCTATTAAAACCAGAACAGAACAGAACATTATTGCTTGAACTATTACAGAGGTTAGACATCGTGTCCTTGACAAACAAAAAGTAAAGTCTTTCTAGTTGGTTGTGCTGGTTTTTTTTAAATCCATCTTTTGTGTTGACCTGGATTTGCTCTTTCAAGATTTACTTTTGAAAAAGTAAATTTCAAGATTTACTTTTGAAAGATGATACTATTGGAAGTGAGCAAACAAAAAGTCTTGGATGCAGAGCAGATTTGAAGATATGCAGCTTTTACTCTTTATAAAGGTGACTAAACCAAGCACTTACCATCCATGCCTTTTGCTGTTAAAGAATCTTTCCAGTAGCAGATGGGACATTYATCAGTTTGTGTCACTGCTGCTCATGCTTTGCTCATTGCTCCCTGCAGGTACTCAGCGTGCCAATGCCCGAGCTCCAGCTCCCTACAAAAGAGATTTTGAAGCCAAGCTGAGGAACTTCTACAGGAAGTTGGAGACTAAAGGATATGGACAAGGCCCAGGGAAAYTGAAGTATGTTGAAGCATCTCATGMATCTGGATTTCTTTTCAGGCAGYTTGCCKTGCCTTGCACATCTACAAGCTTTTTCCCATTAGAAGGAATGCAGATGTTACGGTTACCCAGGCATTTCTTGGAATATAAAACCTGTAATAAAAGATGTAATGCCAGCATGTGATTCATAGCAGAGGATACAGCAAGTTCTGAGCACCTCTGTGTTTTCTCCAAACTATATTTTTGTACAGACAGTATTACCAATACGGTGCCAAAAAGAGCTTTTGGAAGAGGCCTGCAGAGCAGGAGGCATCTGAATTCTTCCATTTTAGCAGCTGCTATGATATAAACAGTTATATTTTCTTATATTCTTCCACTGAAAAAATGAGACAGATTTATCTTTTGCACATCATTGATACCACAGTCCTCTTTAGTAAAGAAGATTCATACTGTAAATGTTACTAAATTCTATGGATTGCCTTGAACAACTGCTGATATTTTTATTTTAGCACTCTGAATGATAGAGTACTTGGAGTGAGGTCTTCCCTCCTTCATTTATTTGGTAATCATGTGATTACATCCTGTTGTATTAAGGATTGTCCTCACAAGATGCTTTCAAAATTTTGTAAATTACCAAGTCTTGTGCCAGCTGTCAAACCCATGGCCATGAGGCACTGGAACATATTTTAATMATTTCCTCTATTATAAGTAGGAGGTAGGTTTTCTATTTTTGGAGGGTTTTGTTTGATTTTTTTTACTTCCCTCAGCCAGTCACTTCTCTTATTTTGCAGAAATCTGTGCAAAGCTCAGATTTCATTTATGTGAAATTGTTACAAGTTTTCCTAAACTGAAATGGGATTAAAATGGTGTTGTTTAGATGAGTTCTTAAGAGGCAAATGTTGAACAGGGCCTGCCTCGAATATAATGAATTCATAAACAGTTAAAGCCTTATCTATGAAAGCTTTGTTCTGAATGCTTGGCCAAATAACTGGTAGAAGAGGATGGCATTTGCTCCCTGTGAGATCTATTCCATTTTATACACACTTTTTTTTTCCTGTCCTTTCTTCCCTGGTGTATTTGCCATTGCASTGTAGATTTTTAAGCTAAGGGGTTTTGTACAAATGATTGCCAATCTAGTCTTCTTGTACCATTACACTCTCAAGGATRATGTAAGGATGTGTGTTTCTGGGTTTACCATACTGTGATTTTTCATGGTTTTATCTTTTTCTGTGTTAAGAGATTGGTTTTCACAGAAAAAATTAGATTCTTTCTTACAGTAAAACTCACTTWGGGGTGCAGCTTTATGAAAGTGTTTCAGACTTAATGAAAAAGCTTCAKGACTTTTCCTCTTAAGACTTTAATTTAAGGAATAAACAAGTTAGATGAAACAAAATTACACTTCTTTATACAAGGGACATTTTACTGAAATTGAAAGGGGATTGGAGGAGATAGACTAACAGGAGGTTCCTGATCTGGAGAAAATTATCCATCAGAAATGTGTATCTCTGAAGTCACTCTGTTACTATMTTGCAGTGTAAATAGGTATTTCCAACTGTGGTTCATGTTCACAAATTGCTGTTTCAAAACAATTTTGCCCTTCAGATTAATCATCAGGAGAGATCACTTGTTAGAAGATGCCTTTAACCAGATCATGGGCTACTCAAGAAAAGACCTGCAGAGAAATAAACTCTATGTCACGTTTGTTGGGGAAGAAGGGTGAGTAGAACAGGGAAGTGTTTGTGGTCTGAGAACTCAGTGTCTGCAGCTCCTGTTTCACCAAGTTTGTTGTCTAGGGTGAAAAGAGGAAGGACTGTGGTCAGGAAATGACACATACACAAGCATAGAACATACAGCTCTTCAAAATGGCTTCTTTAAGCATTTTATGATGTAACATATCCTGCCTTTGCAGAAGTAATTTGACTGCTTATGTGAATTTTCCCAGTAGTTGGTGTGCGTTTCAGAATATTGCTGGGAAAGTAAATTAAAAACCAAACAACTTTCTTGTGTTATTTGTATTTCTTTTCTCTCAGTGCTGTTGAGTCTTCAGGGCTTATTAAAAGAAAGCTGCCATCTTTTGAAGGGAGAGTGCTTCCAGAGGAGGCTGTGGGCTCAATCCTTAGTTTAGCTCCTGTCTGAGGCACGGGGAGCTGAAAGCCCTCAGTGCTACAGGAGGTGCTCACTGCCAGGGCCTACATCACAAATAAAAGCAACCAGGCTGTTGCCAGTTGTCAAAAAAACATAAATATTCCTGAACTTCAAAGACACATTCAGAGAATGATGTCTGTGTCTAATGAAAGTCTAATATGTTACCGGTTGTGAGATGTCCTTTGCAAAGCATGATGTGTTTAGATTTTCTTGCAAGTGAATCTAAAACAATGTGCTATTTTCTGCTTTTGTCTCTTGATTTTTGCTCCCTTTGTCAGATATTAAAGCCTATGTGCTTGTTGATAMGGTTCATGAATGTATTTGCAAATAYATTCAAACTTRTATTCCRTGATWTTTAGAAAACTGCAGCACAGCTCTTGAAATGCTGTAGTGTGCGCTGTTGCCATGCAATGTGTGAGTTTTTGAAATGCAAAGTTGTAATAGAAACACCTTTTACAAGACGAGATAAAATTAATATATCTTTGAAAATCCCTAAATCCTGTTGTTTGTTAGAAGTTCACCCCGAAGCACTTAGTGTTAATAAGGACTCAGTGAAGTCTTAAAATAAAGAATGTTGACAGCTGAGAGCCAAGTGTGGACTTGTTCATATAAATAATATCAGTATGCTGTCTGAGGAAAAWCTCAGGAGAACTGGAATGGCAAGGCTGGGGCACAATGAGATTACACTGAATTGACAGARGAGGGTGGGGATGAGGAGCAAGGCCTGTTTTACCCAGCCCCTACCAGCCTTTGCTTTCACAGCTACAACCTCGACTCAGATCTAAAAATGAAAGGGAAATTTTTTAAATCATACATGAGATTGATTGATCCAGATACACCATCTCCTTTCATCAGATGTCAGACTTTTGCATTCCACCACTCAGCAGCATGAAGAGTGACCTGGAAATGGGGGTGACACATCCTGTCCCCATTATATCCATTTACACAAGACTCCAGCCTTAATGGAAAAGAATCAGTTAATTAAGAGCAAAGTCAAATGAAAATTATGTCAGTTCTGTATTTACAAGTCTGTATTTTTAATGAAGAAAGGATGTGCACAAACAGTATTGTTTCATCAGAGATGGTGCAAGGATATGTATCACATCAAGCTACTCATTTGGCCAGGTGAAGAAAGACAGGTCAGGGTGGAGGAGAGGAGGAATATTCCAAGTTAATTGTTTCCTATTAGCTCTTCCTTTTAAAGTTTTAAGTAGGAGTTGGCTTTTGCRTTTCTTTTCCTCTTGGTAAAGAGGTGTAAGTCATAAAGTGATGGACGAGGAAACCCTCATGTACTATAGCATTTTAGTAAGTATTGATTTCTTAGTGTATAAAATAGTAGGTGGGGCAAATCAGACMTAGTTACTGCTGTTCATGCCATTTCTATCCTAAGTCTCACAATGCTTGCCTTCCTTCAACCTTCAGTTTCTACAGTCATGCATTTGTGATGCTCATTTAATGTTTTTTTATAAACTCCTACGTCTTGTGGTGATACAGGATAAAAGTTTAGATAGAAAGAATATGCTTCCTTTTCCCCAGGTTTATGAACTATTAGGAGGAGCTGCTTTGCATTAAAGAGTGGTAAATGTGAAGTATTAAKGGTGCTTCCTAGGAGACATGAGTCATGTTGCCAACAACATACTACTCTCCTGAATATCCCAATGCCCCACAGTTGCAGCTGTTGTGTGGTTGCATACCTCTCGTATGAAGTTTTCTCACCCCTGTGCCAAGCCTTTAATTGTCGGATAAATCTGACTGGCAGTGCAGGATTCTCATGATTGATTTATTTAACGTGACTCACAGTAAGTGCATACAAAGGGAGCTGGATGAAATGGCTGATAGTCAAGCACATAGTTTCCTTTCTATCTTAGGGTTTCACAGTGAGTCTGATTATCCCCAAAATTTGCAGAAGTCTTCCAGATGACCCTTTACTTGATCCTGGTATTTGAGCCAAGGTTAAGATCCAACAGTTGACCATGGTATCAAACCATTTTTGATTACTTTTTTCTGTAATTTGTTGGTGGAATCTTCCCCTTCTTGCCAGGGTAACGATCTGTTTCAGTACTTTCCTGCTGAAGCTTAACAAAAGTGGAATGCTTCCAAGTGACTGAAGGGAAAATGTTTTTTATTCARCCAAGGAAAGAGGTTTGTCCTCAGCTTGATAATGGCACCTAGCCTTTACTTTCCTGACAACTTCATCCTCAAAAACAACTGTCATTTATGTTTGTCTTCTTTAAAAGTTTATGAGCCAGAACGTTTGTAGCAGAAGTTCTGTGTGAAAGTTGAACTTCTCTRTGACACTTCTGTCTGTGCATTGTCTTAGTACTTAAGGTTCAAACATTAAACCTTCTACCTATAAAAGATATATCTTTATATCTGTTTGTTAGGGTTATAATAATCTCTGTTCTCACTGGAAAACCCCTAGTTCTCTGTTTTCCAACTCTAATAGAGCATTAATGGCATACTTATTTCACTGGTGACCTTCAGTGTAGTGTCAAAATTCAGTCTCAGTGCATTGTCAGCAATGTTTGTTTATCATTCAGGAAGAAGGGGTTATTTAGATTCATTAATCCTGGAATCTTGAAAAAGGGAAAAAAAGACTAAAACAACAACAAAAAAAAACCAACAAAGGAAGTGCACTCTCCAAAAGACATTTAAATGTACTCAAGTTTGGAAGACAGACAGAAAATTTAGACCAAGAAACATAAATCACTGAAGTAATCTCAAATTATATTGCTAGGGAAAACAGAAATATTATCCTTCAAATTGTCCTACAGTTGCAAGTCTGCAAAGACAAAACATGGCCATTGTTTATTTTCATTCTTAATTTGTCAGATGCAGATAAGTCTAATGTTGGCTCTTTTCATTATTTTCCTCCTTCCCACCCTGGCCACCCCCAATTATTTGGTTATATTCCTGTGGCAAAGAGGCCATGACAGCTGGACCCAGAACATTTTTTCTGAAAGCAGCCTGCATGGAGAACTTCATTCCAATCCTCCAAGCCATTCCATTTGAGAATAGTCCCTCGAGAGTTCTACATACTTTGGTATTAGGCAATCTGTGCTCTTAAGGGTTCTGGTTAAAATCTTACGAAATTTTAATCAAAATATGCTATAGGGAATGTARATTCAAAAGAAGTGTTTCTTCATAGTAATGTCAGGTTTCTCTTTAAAGGTTGGACTACAGTGGACCATCAAGGGAGTTTTTTTTCCTGGTGTCCAGGGAGCTCTTCAATCCATATTATGGTTTGTTTGAATATTCAGCCAACGATACCTACACAGTACAAATAAGTCCCATGTCTGCTTTCGTAGACAATCACCATGAGTGGTAAGAATTATTTTCTTTCTATTTTTCAGATACCTTTTCTGGTATTACCACTTGTAGAACAACTGCTTAAATCTGCTCAGATATATAACACAGAATCTGATCTTCTTAACCAGCAGCAAAATAATCACATTTCTTTAGACTTCCCTGGTTTTGGTTTCTMTTGTGGTTTTTAAATGATCTTGTTTCTCACGAGGTCAGCAAAATTATAATTTGGAACATGTATCATGGGATTGTCTCACAGCACAACTCCCTGCATTTTTTGTACATTAGCAGTCATTTGATGAAAGCATTATTAACCTCTTGTGTATTAACAAAAAGGAAAGAAAAATTAATAACACATTGACTTTTTGTCAGCTGAGGAGATTAAGGGAGATTTCAGGCAGGTATTACTGTAGATAATTTATTTGAGTCTTCCTAAAGAGCACAGATATCTCCTCAGTGGAAAACCCCCAACATAGCTCTTGGAAAGAAATCTGTGGTGATATCTTAGTTGGGGGTAGAGGGAAGACTGCTGATTGCACAGCTTTGAAACAGTGTGTACACACACCCATGCTTCTAAAAGAATTATTGAGGATTTTTGCATAATCCCATTTTCACAATTATAAGCCAGTTTAAATCACCCTCAGTTGAGTTAAGCCATGGCATCACCATAAATCTGTAAAGCTGTGCTGTGACTATTAACAGAGAATTCTGCTGTGTAAGTAGTTGGATTACATTAATAGTGGAATGACAACTGCTTATCTCTGTAGGACAGATATGTACCAAGTTCTTATTTTTTGAAAGTCATTTATGAAGAATGAGCATCAGAGGGGAATCTCTTTACTAATTTTACAAATTAACAGAAAATTAAATGATTGGCAGTTCAGTTAGTGGAAGCAACCTGCCTTTTGAGCTCCAGTACATCACAGCAAATGGCATAGGCTGTATTGGAAAGGCAGAACAGCCTGGCAGAAACATGAGAGAAAACTCTTATGTGCTGTGCAGCTTCTGCCAACATTTTGTACTCATCTGTGGCTTCTGCAGTGCTGGAGCAGAGACCCTGGGAGGGAAGGAGGCATTGACCCCTGTGGCTTTCAGGGAATGCTGGTCTGGTGCAGCTCCAGGGGGAATTCAGGAAATGCAGCTGTGACAAATGGTTATGCTTGGAAAGGGAAGGGCTCTGCAGTCACATCTCATCCTACAGACATTGGCCTCCATCACGACTCACACTGTATCACAACTGTGACTCTTTTCTCTTCCAGGTTCAGGTTTAGTGGTCGGATCCTTGGTCTTGCTCTGATACATCAGTATTTGCTGGATGCCTTTTTTACCAGACCCTTTTATAAAGCCCTCCTCCGAATGTGAGTAGAACTGTTCTGTCTCCACTTTTGATTGGTTCCTTCCCCATTAATGGTGCCATTTTGTATATGGATTGTTTATGATGTTTTTTGACAAAGACTGGCTATTATTTCTAATTTAATATATTGATTTCAATCTATGAATTTTTTTTTTTATTTACTTGTTTCCACTGCCTCAGAATGTCATTTCTGCTCAGTATGAAAACCTCATATTTTGTTTTAACCCTGTTGCCTGCTTTCTTCTGCAAAAACTTAGATTTGAAGACAGACAATAAATGCTGTGGGCTTTTTCTAGATATTAATAGAGTTCTTATTCATTTGTCGTGTAGTGACTCACAGGATAGGATATGAATCACTTATAGCTTAGACTGCATGACCCATTCTCAGAGGTGGACTGATTGTTGGCAATCTCCTTTTTGAGGAGCTGTGCTTTGATATACTTCAGACTTGGTTTCCAGAGCTACTGCTCTTGTTCTGGCAGAAACAATGAGAGCTCAGCATGTCTGGGACTTAAGACCTAATGAACTTAAGGTGCTTTACTTTTTTATTTGAAAGCTGGTTTTGAGAAGAGTGGAAGCATAGTTTTCTTCTATAAAATATTGCATATTCCAGTAGTGGGGATTCCTGCTGCATTCATCCATTCCTACTGCACGTGTATTTCAAAAATACTTAAATGCCAGCAGCATCATTTTARCAGGAATGAGGATCTACCCCAGGTGGACTTCACATGGCTGCTAAATTAAATTACCTTGGTGATTTTCTAAGCAGTGAAATTAAAGATGAGGGGCAGCCACCTGTGTAGGCAGCCTAATTGGTGCAAATTCCCCATGGCAGCCCTGCACCWTTGCTTTTGTCAGAACTGAGTCATCCAGACTGTCTCTGCAGATGGGACCCAATCCATCAGCTTTGATGTGGAGGCTGATGCTGCAGGATGTCACATAAAACCACACTTGAGCATCCAGCAGGACTTATTTCTGCCTTTGTGTTGACCAGGAATGAAGCAGGCAGGTAACCCTKCACCTTGCTTGAGAATAGCCCCAGTGTCCTGTTGCACAGGCCAGGATTAAAGGAGTTAAGAAGCATGGCAGAAATTGCCACCACAATATTAAATATTGCTAGCAAATGACATGTCCAAAGCTTGGAATAGTAATTGTTATACACAGCGAGGGACAGTTGGCTTACAAACTGGATTTGTAAAAGGAGGTAAGGCAATGTATGGCCACAGGTAAAAAAGGGTATTTCTGTGGTAAGCAGGGCATCTGAGCAGTTCAACAAACAATGAGAGATGAGGCAGTGTAGCCACAAAGGACCCTGGTTACTTGTTAAAAAAAATCTTACAATTTCTTTTTTTAATTGAATCCTTTGTCTCTTTAATGTAGGTATTTTCATAATTCCTAAATATGCTTCACAGGAAACATGGGGCAGACTCACCATAAGCTTAAAAAGCAATGTGTTTCCAAATTAAATGCTGGAGTTTTGTATATTTACAGAATTATTTTGTATTATGCAGTAACTGCTGTTACCAGGCAAATAAACAGAGATTTGAAATTGAGTTGTCTTTACTGATGTTTCTCTTGGCTCCCATTCACAGTCTGTTTTTCAGGACTGTCCTGTCTGAGTTCAGTWACTGAGCACAGGCTGCTGCCATCATCTGTATTTGTGTGTTTTCTTCTTCTTTCTTCTGTTAGACTCTGTGACCTGAGTGACCTGGAATATCTGGATGAGGAGTTTCACCAGAGTTTGCAGTGGATGAAAGACAATGATATACATGATATCCTGGATCTCACATTTACTGTAAATGAAGAAGTTTTTGGGCAGGTGTGCAAGATTCTTAATTTCCGTGGTGTGTTCTGCTGTTAGATAAACATTTATTTGGACAGAAGAACGACTCTCCCTCTGTGCTSCTTTGACCTTGTATTTAAAAAATTCCAGCTGGTGAAACCAATGTTGAAATCTAAGGAGGAATTATTTGTAGCTGGTCAAACATGCTTTTCTGGTTAAGGAGATTTTCTGGAGAGTATCTGAAATATTAGATTTTAGGATTGCTTTGCTAGGGGTAATTTACCTGAATTTGATTGCAGCAAAGTTGCCATTCAAAAGTATTACAATACCTTTGTTAARATATTATTCAGAAAACTTCACTATTTTAGTCACTGTAAAGATTGTTTCTTCTCAAATTATTCTTAATACTAATTGTGAAGGTTCCTCAGACTAAATGGGATTTTAAATAATATTTACTTTTTTTTTTTTAATATGTTTTCTTACTTCACATATTCCAGTTTGCTAAAGTCAGGCTTGGTTAGTGATTTTGAGGAATTACTTCAACTTAAAAATTTAAGTTATTATAATTTTTTTCTTTTGTCTTTATAATACTGTGTTGTCACTTGGTAATCTTTTTCCTAAGATCACAGAACGGGAACTAAAACCAGGAGGTGCCAATATCCCAGTGACTGAAAAGAACAAGAAAGAATACATAGAAAGAATGGTGAAATGGAGAATTGAGAGGGGAGTTGTACAACAAACAGAAAGTCTAGTTCGTGGTTTCTATGAGGTAAAAAGCTCCAAAATTAAATTTACTTCCTTTCTCCTTCAAAAATATTTTTCTCCTTGTACACATTTCTAAAATACAGAGTCCCAAATATAATCAGAAGTGCCCTTGGAGATACTGGAATTGAAGGGAAGGGGGGTGGTTTAAAAACTTTTTTTTTTTTTTTTAGTCATTTGTGTAAAGGCTATTGTTATGTATGTTTGCACTGGACAATACTTTTGATCACTGTATGATTAGCAGTGAATGCTTGCTCTGTTTCTGCACTGGGTCTCTGAGACTTGTTTGTTTAAAAAGACAAAATCTGACTATTTGTGACAGAAATGATACCTGGTAAATACCTTAGCAGCAGATTTTATGGAGTGGCAAAAATCMGTAAATGAAGAAATGTTGCTATGAATTTTCTTTCCTTTCACAGGTGGTTGATGCAAGACTGGTGTCTGTRTTTGATGCCAGAGAACTGGAACTGGTTATAGCTGGAACAGCAGAAATTGATTTGASTGATTGGAGAAATAATACAGAGTACAGAGGAGGTAACTTGAATTTTGACTTGTTCAAGGAGAATATCAGGGACCCTGGAACTACAGTTTTCTCAACCCATCCTGCCACACTGGGGGATACCACCCAGACTTGGCAGGGAAATGGAAATGGTATCCATTCTTACTTGGAAATTCCTCTTTGTTTTACACACTCGAAGCCCACAGAAAATTAGAAGCAATCCCAGTGACTGCAGGCTGGTGGTTGAGATAATTTGAGAACAACAGAAGATTAGGGAACTACTGTGAGAGAGATGGTTGGAGCATCATTTGTAGCTTTGGATAGATAAATAGCACAGTATTGGAATATTTCAAGAACTGGCATTCCTGTTAGTGACTGATTAATGGAAGAAGTGCTTGCATAAGGGATCTCACTTCTTTTTGTCATAGCATATTCATTCTCTGCCTTTAGGGTTTTTAAGCATTTTAGGAGTATTTTTTTCACCTCCTGCCTTTTGATGCAATTGGATGAAGAATATGTCATTATTGTGAATAGGGCCAAACTAGGAAAAGCTTACTAACTATTCCCTCATCCACTTTCATAGCATCTAAAAGTATAAAGACTCTGTTTTKTTAACAGGTTATCATGACAATCACATTGTAATTCGGTGGTTCTGGGCTGCTGTGGAAAGGTTCAACAATGAACAACGACTAAGACTTTTACAGGTAAGAAATCAGCAGATCTGTGTCAAAATAATGTATATMATTAAAATTTGATGCTAAATGAATCCCATTCTGGTCTATGATATACAGAAATGTTGCTGGTGATGTTTGCTAGAGGGAATAACGTGAGCCAGAGGCTAAATGTAATCATTACAAGTGACTGAAGCTCACAGCTRTTTTTATAGATTTCTAAATTTAAAAGTACATTTAAGATACAATGGCTGATGTCAATAATCCTTTACCATTGTTTGATTAAAAGTACATTAAGACTCCTAAAGATAAAAAAGGAAAACTGTAATTGGTAGAAATGTTAATAGTGTTTATACAGCTCAGGAAGGAGAAAGCTTAGCTGAAAGTTCAAGGCCTCAAATTAGAAAACAATGATGAAAACCTTAAAGACAGTCCAATTACATTTTCACTGAACCTACAGKTTTCAGTCACCCTGCTGCAGAAGGACAGAATTTCTCAACAGAGGAATATTTATACACATGGGTTTAGTACTGAGTAAATCTTTTTGAATTCAGGTTACATCCATCCTATCTATAAAGAAACAGAAAAACCTCCACTGCAAACCATACCATGTTGTTTATGTGTTATGAAGCACATTGTTTTTAACAAGTCAGAATTTGTATCTAAAATTTGTTTAAGTATTTAAAAAGCAGTGTTGGAAATCTCATTTGATGGAGAGACAGAAATGTCTGCTTGTAAATTCCTATCACAATTTTTAGCTAAAAGTTTTTGTAATGTCCAAATCATTACAGATTAAGTAGTCTCTGATCTGTCAAAAACTATGTTTGATCTGTTTGTAGCAGGTTGTAAATAAAACTGCTCATCAGACAGTATTTCAGCAGATGTCAGTGGGCATTTTGCCCAGCCTTCAGAATGTAGTCCTTTTCTTACAGTAGTTAAATACACAGCTGTGGAAATCCACAACAAAGCATAACACAGAGCCACCAGATATTACTACTTTTTGTATTTATTCCTTTTAATGCAGGAAACGGTAGCAAAAACCTCAYTTAGGCTTAAGCTGAAGTGACTGGATAATGATAGTGTGTTATTCTWCAGTATTTATGTAGCAGAGAAATCTTTGGAGGAAATTAATCTGCTAAATTGCCTCTTCTAGAGCCCTGCCAGGAAATGCTCTGTTTGCCCTTAGCCTCCATGCAAAGCAGCATTTATTGCTTGTGCCTCACCAATTTCCTTACTTTGCAAGTGGTTTTACATGAACATTTGGGCTGCAGTGGATGTGCTGGTGTCAGTGTTTAACCCCTGCATGATGTGTGTCTGTGCTGGCAGTTTGTTACAGGCACGTCCAGCATTCCCTACGAAGGCTTTGCCTCTCTCCGGGGGAGCAATGGGCCCAGGCGCTTCTGCGTGGAGAAGTGGGGCAAGATCACTGCTCTTCCAAGGTACAGCACTGATGCCAGGGCTGCTCACAGGGTCACCTATGGGGTAGCAGATAAGCTGTTTGACAAACATTAACAAGTTTTAACTGAATATGCAAACATACTTTCCCTTACATGACAATTTCTTTCTCCGTTGTTGCGGTGTCTGATGCACCCATTTTGGTTTAAATTCCATTTTGTTCTCTCTCCATTCCATTCCAATGTGTAATTGTGGCTGRCATCCATATTGTAGTTTTTTTCTCATGGAAAATTATATTAGAACGATAGCTACGTCTGATTTTTTTTTGTTACATTTGATCAAATGTGAAAGTATTTACTTACTGAACATRTGGTTTATCGGGTAGGACCAAAATTATTACGAATTAAAATGAAATAGCACTTGTAACTGTGCCTGACTGAAAGCTGCTGTCATAATTTTTGCATCAGAGATGGGCTTTATAGTTTAATTTTGTGATGTAATTTTTATGCTTGGGCTGATATCGAGCGTTAACAAATACTGATGAGGAAAGTTGTGAGTGCAGAATAGATGGGGAGGGAGTAATTTCCCTTGAGGAGCAGCAAGAGAAAATGAGGATTTCTTAGAGAAAAAGTAGGATCAATTGAAGTGGGTGAAGGGAGTAAAGGAACATGGGAGCCCAAGATACGAGAGCAGGAGTTGAGTTGCACAAGCCCTTGCAATTTTATATTGGGTAGGACAGGTTTTGAGGAGTAGGATGAAAAGATTAAAAAAAGGCTTTTCTAAACGTTCCAATTTTTAGGGGAGAAAGAAGAGTTCTCTTCAAAGGTCCATGGTAACTATGCCAGGACTAGACTAACATGTGAATGACAGAAAAAAAACCTTCAGCATGGTTTCTTCATGGACAAAAAATGACAGGTTCTTGTCTTTCTCTACTGTGATCAGACTGATAGCTGGGAGGTTTTTTTTCATCCAATTCTGTAATTCTGTAGCCTCTAAACGTTTTAGGAGTGGTTAGACACAGATTGGTTTGTAGAGTGTGGGCAACCTAACTCGACTTAATCAGATCTCAGCTTTAGTGAGGCTGAGTGTGTACAGCCTCTGGAGGTGGCTCTGGGCTGGGCTGATCCACAGAGAAAACCAGCCCTAATCCTAATCCACTCCTCATAAACAAGATAACTTGCATTYCAAGGCTGCTCTTAGACACAGGGTGGCTGTCAGAGACACAGAGAGTGTCTCTGACCAACAGGCTGCAGCTTTTTCCTTCAGCACAAGGCCAGAGGCAGAAACATCTCTYGAGTTGGCTCCTGCCATCACAACCACAGGGAGAAGGTCACGGACACAGAAGTGGTGCTGTAAAATCCACAGCAGGTGGCCTTTAAACAGAGTCATCTTTCCTGTTTGCAGCACAAATGAGAGCCAGGCAACTGAGGATGAAAGAAATCCAAATCCTGAAAAYTGCTATTTCTAATCAAATACTCTAATATCTTTTGGGGGCCTAGTAGTACTTTGTGGTTTGATAAGTCTCCTTTATAATCTCACTGTGAATAGCCTATGGACTAGCTTTGATTCTGTTTAAAAAGAAAAAGCTGTGACTTTTAAAAAAATAATTTCTGACTTCAAAATTAAAGGGGTTTTTTTTTGTGAGTTTAAGAAAGAAAAGAGATTGCGTGAGTTTTTCCATATATTCTCTGAAGCTGAAATTCCTGGTACTTGCAAGCAGAGCTTGAAGCATGGAAAAGGTCAGGACCTGASAGAACAGGATGTTCAGAATTTCCTCTGGAAAGGTTATGCAGAGCCCTGGATGTAATAAACTGCAGAATTGAACTGTTTCCTAAAGTGCAGTGGAGAAACATATCGAGAATCTTTGCTATCATAGGCTGTTCAKCAAGTGTAGGGGAAATGCCARCTCCTCACATTTAAGAGATTGTATCATTCGTTGAAATTTCATTTACATTTCCCATGGTTAGGAAACCTTTGATTTTTGTCTTTCTGGATCCTTTTTACCATACAAATGTGAGAAYCAAAATAACAACAAAACATTACAGTTGTCATGAGCAAAGCAATTCCTGGTATTCAAACACAGGGAACCTTGATCTCATAAAAAATAAAACATCTTCCTTGTTAGTGCTTAAATGGGTTAAGCCGAAAGCACTGTTTGCATTTTCACATGTGTGGTTCCGGCTTGGAGCTGAGACATTGGTAACTACAACCCCGAGCAGCAACWTTCAAAAGGTTTCCAAAGAAGCCCAGCATGTGTAAACACATGGCTGGATGTGCTGGGAGTGCTGCCCTAGGACTCGGTGACTCTTGCTGATTCTCAGATAACCAAAGCATTTATGTTAAGTCACCATCACTCACCCCTAGCATTGTTGTACTTTGCAAATTGCCCTTCTAGCAGGAGTGCCTGTGAAATTTAATAGTGCATGGTGTGAGGGTGGCAAAAGTGAGGATTTAACAAGTGGACTTTGTTTTTTTCCGTTTCTAAAAACACTACTGCAGTGCTGGAAACACTTGAGAATGCCCATCCCCAGCTCTTCYCCCTGATCTGAGACACAAAGGGCAGCTAGGATAGTTACTTAGGTATGTGCCTGTGGCCTAAGCAGCTGTGAATGTAAACACCAAAAGTTTTCACTAGATRTTTGCCTAGTTCCCACTGTTCTGACTGCTGGTGTAATCACTTCTGCTGAATCCAAATAGTGASATTTCYGTGAGGCWCATGTCAGGTTGCCAAGCTTGTATYGCTGTCTTTTACACTAACTAGGCAGCAGGTAAAATGCCCTGAATAGATGGATTATTACAGGTCTAGCTTAACTATTGCTACCCCAATGCCACTTCTACTTCCTTCTTYGGCACTATATTGCAGATTAGACTAAATTCAGGGAGGGGTTGTTACTCTTTCAGTTCCCTCACACGCCGAGAAATTCGTTCCACATTTTTTGCTGTGCATTATTTATTCATGCATATGATGATTCACTTGATATTTATGTCTGACTACTGTGTTTTGAGCCCAAGTCACTCTCTTTTATGAAGGTAATCAAAATGAAGGGAGTTTAATTGGGAATCTGGGAATCTAGACTTTAGAAATCAAGATGGTTTTTCATGTTGTCATAAAACATCAGCCCTGGAATACTAACAGTTAGTGCCCATGTGGTTTGAAATATTGGAATGGGAAAATACTAACCAGAAGGAAAAAAAAAAAAACCAAACCACTTTCTTCTCAAAGATTTAGGATGTTTTTTGTTGSGGTTAGAAAAGCATGTATCACCTCAGAAGACAAAGGTCTTGTTTTTGTCTTTTTTAATTACTTGGTTTTCCATAGTAAGTGATTCCATTTTCAACATTGCCCTCAAAATAAGATAAAACTCAGTTCTCTTAATAAATGTAAACAACTTGCCAGCTTACTATTAAACCAGTTTGTAATGAATCCCTTGCTAATTATATACTGTGTCTTTTATGATTTGTGGTTTTCCAGCCCACACAGCATGATCCATAGTTCTAATGAGTGGCTGTCAGCCCCATGCAGCAGAAGTGTGTGGTTAGGCTCTTAATTGCCTAAGAATCTTCAACACTCTGCTGAATTCAAGGGATCACTGAGTTCCATTTGCTGCAGGGTTTAAATTGGTCTTTTTCATCAAGAGAATAATTTCAAAATTTTAAAGCATTCTGCAGAAAATTGAATAATTTAATCTGTATCACAGATATTATTTCATAAGGTGTTTGGACAGACAAAGAAGGAGTAAAAAAAAAAAGCTTTCCTCCAGAGCCTTAGAGAGATGGCTGGGTAGAGAAATTTTACTGGGCTCCTGGAGTACAGGGTGGGGAAATGCCATCTCTGCTATACAGCATGTACTAGCAGTGCACTTCTAAGGGTACTGTGTTTGGGGAGGGTGCTAAAGTCAATGTTTCTTTAAGTAATTGCATATTTGGTGTTTGGACTCTGTTTATAATAATAGTGTGACCTTGTGTACTGTGAATACATATCTTCAGCCTGATATTTTTATGACACTACAAGGCTGTAACTGAGTGAGTGTTTCAGCTTCAATGAGGGTTTGTAATGGACTCTTTGGTTTTTTAACAAGTGAGATTAACCCACTTCACTTCATGTTCTGTTACCAAAGCTGGGAGCTGAGAGTCACTTAAAGTGGCAATTAATGARTTTGCTCACATGGAAGGCAGCACTTTCAGGCTCAGAGGAAGTCTGTGCAGGTCTGTGGTAGACAGTTGGATTTTTGGGACTGATTAGGTTAAATGAGGAGTTGCATTTGCTATGAGGAGGGAGCATGTTCAGTGCTTCCATTAACATGTTACCTATTTACACTCCATACAGATCATACTGGTGAAGGGCAGGGCATTGCAGGAGGAGTTTTTCAGCTGGATTGTATTTAATAACTCCRTGATGTATATTATTGCAAAAGAATGAAGTATTTGTAAACAGAAACCTGCCAAAATACAAAAATTTGTCTAAACTGAGGCCTTATTACAAAGCTTTAGAGCAGAAAAGATGCCTCTTGCAGTTTCTGTTTGCATCATTTCATCCTCAAGAGCCCATCACATTAATAGTTATGTTATTTCATTATAACATAATAATATTATATATATATTTCATTATAGCTCATCCACCACAGTGCTTTAGAAAGTACTGTCATTAGCATGCTCTAAGATGAGGCAATGATTTCCATGATTCTGCTATAAAGTGAAACCTTTTTATTTTCTCCCTTTTCATTCCCTGGAAGAGGTTTTGAGAGACAGTTCCAAGTGTGTCAACAAATTGAGGTAGATGGACTTCAAAAACTGAGAAATAACTCCATGGTGGCCCTCCTAAGAAAGCAAGGTGGTTGCTAGAGATTCATGCATGGTTTTGTGTCATYCCAAAAGCTGTTGGCCTGTAGGGCAGATATGGCCATTGGGAATATCAGCACAAGCAGTAATGTCCCAAGATCATCCATATGCTAAGGAAATTGTAGAAGGAAGGGCATCTAATTTACTACTGTGGGATTGTTTCCTGTATATCTGCAGATGTATGGAAATATGTTGTTTATCATTACAAATACAATGTTCAAGTGTCATCAGTACAGAAAAGGAAGGCTACATCTCAGAAGACACATTAAAAGGCAAGATTTCAGACCAGACTGTTTGAATTGTACCATGCCAAATCAGTCTTTTTGTCTCATGTATATTTGATGGATAGAAGGCAGTGTGTTTCTAAAGACCTTCATAAATGCTTCTTRCTGGCTTATTTCAATGAGAAGAAAATAGATTAAAACTCACTACCTGTTCRGTTGGAAAACATCATTTGACAGAACAAAGTCTTCTAAAAGAATACTATCTGCCCATCTCTATTCAAGCACCTACCAGTCTGTGTGTTCTCTTTTGAACTTTTCAAATAATGCAYTTCTTCACCTCCTCTCTCTTTTTCCCCCTCAGGGCTCACACTTGTTTCAATCGTCTGGACCTTCCCCCTTACCCATCATTCTCTATGTTATATGAAAAACTGTTGACAGCAGTAGAAGAGACAAGTACTTTTGGACTTGAGTGATACACAAACCACAGTGCCCAGCTCATTGGACTTTTGTGGATCTGTCTTCTCAAGGAATGAATGAATGAACTTTTGTATTGGATTTCCTAGAGGAAAATTGTTTCATGGTGCAATTCAAATAATGAGGTTCCACGAAAGAGCTTGTGAAGCAATTAAAAAGCATTGTGGTAGTGGCAGAGTTCTCAACAGTGAAACTAGAGTGTGCCTGGTGTGCAGGGAAAGCCAAGTCTTGCGATCCATGGGGTTTTGGGATGGCTACACTTCCTAACTTTATGTTCTGAGCAAACCAGAAACGTGATGCCATGTCGTGATCCGTGGCTACTGCAAAACTGACACGTACCCAAGAACTGGATTTCATCAGAGCTGTTGAACAGACAATTCAAGGCAAAATGTGAAATCATTCAGCCCCTTACCTACCCAGTAAATTATCRAAAAAAGCATACAACTGAACTTTTTTGAATTCTTCTTTTCTAATTCATAAAGATCCATTATGCCATATGTTATAACAGCATAGTCAACACTTGCTTTACTTAAGACTACGAGTGCCTGTATGGGCTGCACCACAGAGCTGAAGTTCCTGGGGCAGAAGTGAATTGGAAGCAAAGTCAGCAACAAAGGCTGTAACAACAACGGCTTGTGCATTGAGGAGGTTTGTGGAAATGCGTTTGCCAGTGGTGTGTATGACAAAATATGAGCTGTTACAATGAACTTAATAACTTAATAAGACTGATTTTATGCTTTATACTGCATGGAAACTATTTTAAGAAGAAACTAGCAATTTATCACAGCATATCAGGAAAAAGCCCTAACACGGTGACTTCTGTTTATTTTTATAGGTTCATTATATTATGTTTCTTAGAGTGTAAACAGGAAACAAGCAAACAAAAGTGTTATTTCTGTTTTGTCACTTTCCATGCTTGAACAGACATTCTGCTAGTGTTTATTCTTTAAGCACTCTCCAGGGAAAAAAATGCCTTTTATTTTTATAAGAGTAAAAAAAAAACTCCCAAAAATATTTTGCACTGAATGTACCAAAGTTGAAGGGACATTATGATCTGACTGATAGCAAATTGCATCACTATCAAATATCTATAAAAATGCTTAGGAACCAGGCTTTCTTCACAGTGCCATGTCTATAGATATCAGGACTGTGCACATAAGTAATAATTTTATAATACTATATGTAATATTGTAATATGCATTTATTTTAAATGCATCYGGGTCATTTTTCATGCATTGGATAACTTAATGCAGTGGAGTTTAATACAGATATTTCATACGATCCCCACAACTTTTTATTTGTACAGCACCATAAAACACTAGCTCATTTGGAAAACCATGAATAACCTACTTCAAGGTGAGCCACCAGTCATAATGCCACTGTCCTGTATCAGTGAACACCTACAAGATGTAAACTGTTCATAGTGTCCAAGCTTGCATTTTCACTGATAAAGTGTTTTCTTATCAAATGTTATTTGAAGCAGTTTTTATGGCGTATCAAACACTGCATGGACACCAATTTCTTTACGCTTAATTTTGCTGAAATACACGAGGCTTGCTTGCATCTATTTTTGGTACTTTTCCTCCAGATGGTCTTGTGGAACACTCCTGCAGCTGCGCCCCATTTCTTGTGCAGCTGCTGTCACGCACTGCACCCGCCACATTTTAAAATYCCAGAAGCTGCACTTGGATACTGGATGACAAGAACATGAATTTAGCTCTGTGCTGACCCTTTTGGCAGCAGGGCAGCACAGCAAGCCCTGCTCTGTGGGAAAAGTAGCTTTTGAAGTAACGTTCTCACTTTGGAGGCTCTTGAAGGGGCATCTGAGGGAGGTATCCTGCTTGTTCTTGTGGGAGGTTTTTTCCAGCAGAGGCAAACATCCCTGGAGATGTCATCAGCACAGACTGTTGGTCCACCCTCCGAGGCAGAAGGCAGGTGCAGTTGTGGTGGTGACTGAGGAAACCCTTCAGACCCTTGGAAAAGCAAAACCAGAGGGAAAGCGTTCTTTTATTTCAAAAATAATTGCGCTTCTGCATGACATCTGGGACTCTCTTATGTAACTTAGGTTTTTTTAGGCTACTTCTGGCTGGTTTGAAGTAGCAAAGAAAAATCCAAACATATCACCCTGTTTCTATGTATTTATCAGTCTTCGTTAAGATTGCATGTCACAGGTCCTAATGCACATCTTTTTTCAGAACATGAATGAGCAGTAGGCAAACTTGCTTTTCAGTAGGTCACTCCAGCATGGCTCATGTTTCATATGATCCATTCACTGAGTMGCTGAAACTCTGGCACTCGGAGCAGAATGCAACTTCTGATTGGTTGAAGGACTACAGAATTTTCATTTTTCAATGCTGTGTTATCTGTGGTCTAAAAAAGAATTTCCCTGGTGGAAACTGTATCTTCAAGTTTTGAACTAGATACTCTTTGGAATGAAAAGTTTAACTAYTTGGCACAAAGTAAGTTTATACTAGTTTGCCTTTTAAGTTATGCTTTTGTACAAAACAAAAACAATAAATGCATCTTGTCAATTTTTATTTAAATATATCTACTGCACCTATTTGTTCTGTATTTATGCATGTAAAAATAATTTTATCCTGATGATCCATGTATTGATGATATGGTATCATAGCCATGATGATCCAGTATTCTGTAAAGATGTGACAGGGTCACCARTGGGGCAGCTGTCAGGTAGAAAATAGATAAATTAAAAAAAAAAAAAAAGTCCAGAATCTTTGTAGCATTAAACCCAAGAGAGACTAAGGAGAAGTTGTGCTTCCTCCTCTGCTGCCAACATCCCCTGGGGGACTCCAGAAAAGCACTGTGTGAAGGTTGAGGTGTCACTGGATACAGCTCCCTGTGGTGCCTGCAGCACTTGGCTCTTTGTGATGGTGTAAGTGATGCTGCAGCTCTGAAGGGATTAGCAAGGAGGGAGTAGAGGAGAGGAAGCCTGAGCTTAGTCAAATACCCACATCTCCTGGCAACTGCTTGGAATGGTCTCCCTTTGGTTTTGGAAGCCATTCCTGTTCAGTGTGCCCCGAGTGAAAGCCAGCTTTCATGTCCTGGAGCTGATGGCACCAGGCCACCACAGTGCTATTGCTTGTGACTTGCTGTGTGACAGGGATGAGGTCCACATAGAGAAAGGCTGAGAAGCCTTTCCAAAGCTCTGTATCTCCTCTGAGCTTTTCCAGATGGTGCTAAGKAGCTTTGCATTTAGGAAGAGAAAAAGTAGACAAAAGAATCCCTTCAGGCAATGACAGGTGGTGCTAACCTAACCTGCAGCATCTCCATCACACAGGTTGGCAGGGAGCTCCCTGCACGAGTTTAAGGGAGGTGCCCATGTTTCCTGCTCTGCTGGGAGGTACAGCCACACATCACCAGCCAAACAGCAGCTCATGGGTCACTGGAGTCTGGGCAGGCTGGCAGCAGAGTGGCTCTGTCCCCTGCACSCCAGCAGAGGTGTGCTCTGCTCACCTGGCACGGCTGGCGTCAGGTTATACCAGGCACTCCTAAATACACCAGAAAAGCTTGGAATCAATGAAGTTATGCAATGTGGCACCTGCTGCAGCAAACAGTCACCCATTCAGAGTCTGCAGGCCAGCAGCTGTCAGGGGAGCAGTGCCTTTGCCCACAGCAGGCAGGGGACAGCCATCTGCCACCTCTGTCACACTGCCAGCAGCACCTGCCAGGGCAGGATGGAAAACCCTTTCAATCCAGACCTTTTTCCTCACCCCTCCCTGCCTGCTGTTTTTTCCTTGGTATTCATCAAATATTTGCCTCCTTTTGCTTTTAAACATAATTTTCATTATCCTTGTACTGACCCCACCATAAAACAAGTTAATATGGYGTGGAGGGTATGTGGAGTGAGATCTCCTGTGTTCACAGCCCTGCTCATGGGSACCACATGAGCTCCACATGGCAGCAGTTAACCCCGGGTCACACAGGGTACAGGGAATATCTGGAATCTTCGGGGAAACTGAAAATCTAAGCAACAGCAGCCTGGCAAGACATCACACAAAGCTTCTGGCAGGAGCTKAACTGGCAGAGCACTGGACTGGTAGTTTGCTCAGTTTAAAATTATAGGAAAGAGAAGAGGTTTGTGATTTCTTAAGTATTTTTAATCCTTTAAAAAAGAAAAAAAAAACCTTTCTGAAGCATTTGCAATGGTAYCATCTGGTTGTCAAATGTAATCTCAGCAGTATTAATTGCAGATGTTTCCTGAGTTTCTGCAGTGGTAGCTGCAGAGTTTGATGGAATTACTTGAAGCACACTGTCTCTGGACTGAGGGAATCTGCAGCATCTGTGTCTGGATGGCCAGTGTCAGCTCATCTCCCATAGCATAAAGCAAGTTACTTCTTTTCAGTGAATGAAACTTATCTGCATTAAATTGTACTCATAGTGTTGTTACTCCTGCCACTGTTTTTATGTGGAGGGTTAATTTGGTCCTGTTAGTTACCACAGAAAGCTGGTCTCTAGTTACAAGACTGAGGTATAGCTTTGGTGATACAACTCAGCCATCGCTGCTGTTTCCCTGTTTCCTCTTCTCATCCTGYTCTCTCTGGGCAAGCAATTGAACTCCAAGCAAAATTTCAGAAGAATTACTCTAAGCTGGCTTCTTAAACTGTTTGTGTTCTTGCTCAATTATGTGGTATAAAACAGAACTATGGGTATAAAACAAATGCTATGGGTTGACTGGCTCATCAGTTTAAGTAAAAAATGGTGTACAATTTTGTTAGTGCAACCACAGTGGCTGCTGTTGGATGAGTCTAACCTTTTGCCTAAATACTTTACAATAAAAAAAGAATTTGGGAGGTTGAATTTGAAGTTACTTRTTTGCTGGAAAAATGAATATATGTTAGGCAAATAGTAGAGGAAAAGAAGACCTTTGCTGTAAAGCCAGTATAATCCACTTTTGTTAGCAGTATGCAAAATTACAGYGCTGACCCTCCAAACACAGGATTTTAACAATGAAGGATGGTTTATATTTTGTGTGTCTCTCAGACCATACATTTCATAGTGCTGAGTTTTAGACTAATTTTAGCACTAGGCTACTACTATTTAGGATGTTCATTTCTATGAAATTTTTTTTAGTTAAACATTGTTAGTATTTTTTAAAGCAATTTTACTCAAAGAAAGGTATTTTCAGATGGAAACTTCCTTTAGGGCTTTACTTCATAGGTTTTGCTCAGAGCCATATTATGCTGTAGGTGTTTTCAGATAAAATCATGATTGATTTGATAATTCTGTTTTGTATAACTGACTTTCKGGCCACTGTTTAGAAAGGTTCCTCCTGATTGGAGGTGAAAAGATGACAGTCAAGGATTCCTGGAATGGTTACAATCCATTCAATTATCTGTACGTTTTCAAAATGCATTTAAAAATACCTCCTGAGGACTGCAATAATTGCTACACTTATTGATTAGCCTCTTTCTAAATCAGTTATTCAAAATTTGAATGTTTCCTTTCAGATTAMATTGCAGAATAATTATAATAAAATTTTAACTAGAGATATATTCTGACAAATTTCTCAAAGCTGTGATGAACATGAAAGGGAGCTGAGCTAGGCTGCTTTCAATATTTCAATTCATTTGAAAACTTCTGAATAATGRAAGTTTATCTTTTGGGTTTCAGTTGTTTCTTGTTTTCAGAACTTTCAGAACCTTCTATTTCACCCCCTGTTAGAAAGAGCCTTGCTTTCTTAGAGGCTTTTGTTAAGCACTCAGGAGGTATATTGTTCAATTAATTTAACATACTTTWGTGCTGACATCAGTGTAATTAACTTTTAAATGTATAGACCTATGGAACTCCACAGGACTGGTCTCCCTTATTGTGGCCTTATTCAAAGGCCATCCATCCTCTCCCTTTTGATGGCACATAATCCTCCAATCACCCAGAGACAATTGCTGACCACCTACACTGACTGTAGCTGTGGTACCGTAGTTAAGACTGTGGGTTTGGTTTTTCTTTCAAAAGCAGCTCCCTCAGTCCAGAGTCTATGGGATCACAGTTATTCTGACATGAAGACTGAGTGGTTTAAGAAAAATAGTCCTAAGTTTTTTTSAAAATAGTTGATTCGGTATCCAAGAGTAAAATGTCTTTTGGTTTTGATTTTGCAGAATTAATGAGGCAGGGGATTTTTTTCTTGCAATGTTTTATATGGCCAGAATTTGTGATCCCCCATGGGCTRCTCCAGGCTGTTGAGCAGGTGGGTGCAGAGACTTTGTAGTGATAATTTCTGAGAGACTTTRCAGATAATTTCTGATTCAGAAATTRTCACTATTACCTTAGTGACGACTGTGCCTTCCACAGCTGGAGGCTTTGTCATGCAGCCCTTGAACTGGATTCCTGCTAATTGCAATAGAAGCAACTCATGACACACTCCATTGGCTAGTCAAAGTCTTTCATTTTAAATGATTACATTTTTCATATTTGGGAATGCACATCCAGCAGTATAAGGTCAATAAAAGGAGATTTTGCTGAGACATCATATTTGATTGCCATGCTGACTGCAGTCAGACATTGGAGCTGACTAGCTTTAAAGTAAATTACTGTATGAATAAGAAAATAAATCTCTGAAGCCTCATAAATAATTCTAAGAAGGAATGTAATTATAGGAGCTGTAATGATAAAACAGAGCAGCTCCTTGGAGCACAGAAGATACAGCCATGGAGTAGTGCAGGAGTGAAGACAAGTCTGAGAGTAGGCACAGAAAAAGGACTGCACTTGAGGACAGGGAGCAGGACAGTGAGTTGTGRTGATGCCTGGGATACAAAACAGGGTACTTTCTGCTTGAAAACTAGGCTATGGTAATGCRCCTAGGAAAGAAACGACTGTTCATCCCAAAATACATTGGTGACACTGCAATGGCAAGGCATGCTTTAACTAAATTTTGAAAATCTAAGTACACAATCAGAAAATTTACTTCTATGTAGCTTTTTTTCTTTTTTCTTGGACCTGGGTTGGGTTTTTTTTATTTGGGCTATTTTCAGGAAAACGAAAGCTTCTCAATAAAATAAAGGTGGTGTCTGGAAGCCCTCTTTTATTTGTTTAACTAATGACTGTTTATTACTATCTGCATTTGGCAAGAGATACAACTTCTGGTAAGAGGTTAAATCATCACAACCAATGTAACTTCCCTTTTCAATGTGATGGGCCAAATCCCTAATGCTTAGATATGTCAAAATACAGATTTAAAAAAAAAAAATTAAGATACTTGAGGTATGTGTTATGGGTTGTAAGAACCACGCATTTCCATGAAGACAAGGATTGATGTGGCATTTCCAAAGCTTAGTTAAGGTAAKTAGAATATTCTCAGTGACCCAGGTCTTTAGCCAAGCTGATGCATGGATTGATTCCACTGACACTCTAATGACATTATCAGAAAAGATACTGTGTAAGAAGTGGGAGCATTTTAGGATGGGTTTCTCTACCTAAAAGCTGACCTGATTCTTTACCTAAAAGACAAGACTATTGAATGAGTCAATATGARAGTCAAAAGAAGAATTCCTTGTGAGTTTTCTTCTTCAACGTGATAACTGAGATTGTAAGAGTTTTATATAAACTTGAAGTCCTAAATGAGAAGACAACTCCCATGTTGAACCATACTGGTTCAATAGTTCCATACAGCAGGACATTTTTCTGCAATGAGTCTGCAGCACTCAGGAGACTGCTGTTTATTATCAGCATTGCAGGGAGGAGGAGAATTATGATAATATTAACTACATAAATCATATAAGGAGGATGCTTTTTCTTTGTACTCTGTTTTTCCTTGGAATGACATAGCYTTGAGGGCCTCCATGAATCCTGATAAGCAAGGCTGCTTTTTGAATAAGTGACTGAGCATTTGTAATTACAAGGGCTGGGACAGTATGGAAAGGGAAAACTTTAGAGGAAAAGAAGGCAGKGAGGGATGTGGTGTGGAATACTGCTACCCCCAAGTCAGTCGATATTCCTGCCCTTGCTAGGTTACAGTTTGGGTTATTTTCAGCATGTTTGAAAGTGTGTAGAGTTTTACAAGTTTTTGTAGTGGGGATGCAGGCATCCAGAATCTAACAGGATTATAGGTGCATCTTCCTCATTTTTGACTATTACTTGATATAATTTTATACCAAGTTCTTTGTTTTTAAAGAATTTCAGGCACTGAGAATACAGAGTGCATATTTATTTCTAAGCTTTAAGTAGAACACAGTGTATTTTTTAATCCTTTCCATACTTTTCAGTTAAGTGTTCACAAGACTATATCAAATAAAATTCCAAGTTTTTCTATCTTTCTACAAGCCACTTTAAGTTTCATCTGAATTTGGTACATGTCTTTCACAGAACACTAAATGGGGAATACGTGCTTCAAGCATTAAGATGGTTTCTGTCCTTTTCCCTATTTACATTGCATTACATTTCACGATTTTTTCTTTGAGGCAGAGAGAATAGATAGAAAATGTGTTGAGTGTGTTACAGGGGCACACAATGTGTTTCTTTGTGCCTGGTTTCAAGGAATGTACTATAATGTTTGACTGCTCACAGATTTACATAATTTGAATACAGGACTGTTGTGTTGTATTTCCTGTTACTCAAAAACATTTGGGGAAAAGAATTTTCTGTGTATAATTTTATTTTCATACTGATCTCTATTTTGTTTAAGACCATGTTTCATCATGAAATCACTTAATTAAAATAAATCTTCTTACAAAATCCACTTGGTAAATCATCTCTTTTATTGTGCCTCTGAATATACTGTAACTTCCTTTTTTGAGTACCTTTATCTCCAGATCATTCTATGTCCTTTGAAGCACCTGAAAACCTTTAGAGAACCTACATGATCCTCTTTCTGACATCATCTTTGCTAAGTGATTTCTGATGGCCTAGAGGGTCTGGCATATTACAAATCATCATTTTGGAAGTGGAGAAAGTAAGAATTCTGCAGCCATATGCAACATAACTTGAACAARAACTACATAAGAAGAAAAACCTCCTATGACAAACAACACATTGGAGAGGCCCAGGCTTCATGGAAGAGTCTCTGCTTTTGAATGGAGCATCAGAGGTGGCAGCAATRCTTTACAGCAGTGGCTGAAACTCAGGAAAGTTCTGTATTTTCACAGGGAAATATCTTCCAGGAGTAATGCATTTTTTTGTCTTTAATAAGTCAGTKGCCTCCACCAAATATTTCCTTCTACTTTTCTAAGAGATAGTGCTATTTCCAGTGAGAGGCACTGGCCTTTAATCAGCTCTTAGGCAAAGGTTCTCCTCACCAAAACACAGCCCAAGGAGAATGGTTAAATGGCAACTTGTCACTTCCCCTGTGTGTTACACAAACTGTTTGTAGAATCTGGTAGTGAAGTGATATTTCTATTATTTTAAACTTTAAAAACTTTAAAAGTTTTTTAAACCTTTTCTTGGAGATAATTTTGYGTTCTCTTGCTGCTACCAGAGATGTGATGCATGCTAACCTGAGTCACTGAAGGAGAGCTGCTGTGGGAAGAGGCGAGGCTTTGGGACTGGAGCCCTTTCAGAATGTGCTCTCTGTTGTCATTCTTGATGCCAGACTCATAAGGTATTTTCACCCGGGTCACTGATAACAGATGCCACGTATTGCACAATTACTCACTTTCGCTCAGTGTAAACACYGGCGCTGGTCTGGAGCTCGTGCTGGGTGACACTGAGGCAGCTGTGGTCAGCAGGGTCAACCCAGAGATTTCCCACTGCACTGAGAATTGCCTTGTGTGAGAGGGTGGCACAGGGATTTTGGCATGTGGGGGGAAAAAAAACCCAAATTTTTTTGAAATGGCCGTTATTAAATAAAAATGAATTGGAGAAGGCTCAGGCACACTGAGCTTCCAGCTGTGTAGCTCTTAATGTTGTGTGCTTGTCCCCCAAGTCACTGACAGAGTTCCCTGCTAAAGGTCTGCTGCCATCTCTTCATTCCAAACAGCATCTACCCTGTGCCAGACCTGGGCTGAAAYCCGCACTTGTTGGGGGAGCTGAGCTTTTCCCAAAGGCTGGCTCCCGAAAACACGTGTGGCTCTGAGCACCTCGGGCTGTACATCACAGCTACGCCAAACGGCTGCTGATCAAGGGCAATGGTTCTTTAAAAGCTGAAAGAGCCAGCTTTGTAATGGATAGGTAATCAAGGGAAGCAAAAGAAGTAACTAAGAATGGGAGCTATGAAGCTAACACCTTTAATTGCTATTTTTTAATTATCCCAAAGACCAGGTGTATATACATTAGGAATAATAATGGTTCATGATCCTGTACTGTTGTGACCTTCAGCCTACCCATTCCCCCTTCTCCACCCTCTGCTTGTCCTTCTGAGCTGCGGTGTATCTGAGTAAAATTACAAAGTCCTCAGGGTGGAGTCCTGTCAATTATACCCTTCTYTAAGTGCCATTCATGTTTCTATGGCACTACATAAACAGATAACCAAGACTACAATAACACACATGTCATGAAACATTTTTGGTATTCACTTGTTTTTTTTAAACTTAAAGGGAGAGTAGAGTAAATCCTGAAAAGGATCAGCAAAGGCACAGAAGCAGCTAAGGAGACAAACATAAGCACTGTCATTTACTTCTTGGCACCACGTGCTATAATAATCTGAAACATCTTAATTGTGGGCATCATTTAATTTTACTCTGTGGCTCATTCGGTATGTTTGGAATGCTGCCTGCTTTTCATACTGCACAAAGAGCACTTCTCAACAAAACCAATCCTATCCACAAGTCGTATTTTTATTTGACAGATGTATTTGGAATCATGTTATACTGAAGTAAGGATATGATCTGGAATTCTGAGGGAGAGAGTAAAGATTTTGGACTGCTTTTGTCAAAAATATCCACATTGCAAATATCCACATCCATTCAGATGGAAGTTCAAGCAAGCAGGAGTTTCAGATGTTTTCAGTAGGTATATCTCAGTGTGCCAGCTCCATGGTGTGACATACTCTGGACTCTTCAAGGATACTTTCTGCTCTCTCACACTGCCTCTCTTATCTCCATTTAYACTATTTTCATCATAATACAAGCATTGCTGTGACAGCATGACTTAGGCACTGGGATAAACACAGCAATTACCCACTTCACTGGCAGTGCCATGACATAAACAGAATTAACCCAGTAACTCTAATGGTACACTGCTGAAATTAAAACATGCAACTCTTAAACTCTTATGCTGCATAACCATTACTGCCTTCATGACAAATCTATTCTAAAACGGATGTTTGCAAATTTCTAGCTGGTTGGATTGCTTCAGAGGAAACCAATTTGACAAACAAATTGCAACTATTTTAGAACYCTTTCTAACTTCAATTTATTTCTGAACCATGCTTTAGGCCATTCTGGGTCCTCGGAAAGAGTCTTTGAAACCACAGGTTAAAGTCTTTTAACTTTTTTTTTCTTTTTGTTGTGGGCTTCTCACGAGGAAGACGCTGTTTCCACTTGCACGTATGAAAACAGAGATKGTCATACGACCTCCCTGCGAGATCCGTACTTGTAGACAAGTACTGAAAGCACTCTGCTCCCGGCAGCTGTCAGTGAGAACTGGTTTATCGCTGGGTTTTTAACTGGACTGGGCCGGTGCTGTGGTAGAGCGGTGGCGGGGCGCGCACAGCGCTTCTGTCCGTGTAGCTGCGGCTTTTCCCCGCCACATCCCGCAGCAGGACGGAGCGGAAGCGCTGCAGACTCGGCTCATGTGCCCGGCTCCCCATGCCGGGGGGAGGCACAGGATGGCGGTGTGCACCGGACCTACAGAGGAGCCTTCGCTGCGATGTTTGGCTCGCACACGGCCCCGGGACCGGGACTTGTCACCGGTGCCTGTGGCTGGGAGCGGCGGCTCCGCGCACCCCAAGAGGTGCGGACACCAGCGGCTGCCCCGCAGCGCCCCGAGCCCGGCGCCTCCC